ATCTACCCTGGTCAGTACATGGTTATCACTTCATTATGTATGTACCCTGGTCAGTAAGTGGTTATCACTTCATTATGTATGTACCCTGGTCAGTAAGTGGTTATCACTTCATTATGTATGTACCCTGGTCAGTAAGTGGTTATCACTTCATTATGTATGTACCCTGGTCAGTACATGGTTATCACTTCATTATGTATGTACCCTGGTCAGTAAGTGGTTATCATTTCATTATGTGTGTACCCTGGTCAGTAAGTGATTATCACTTCATTATGTATGTACCCTGTTCAGTAAGTGGTTATCACTTACTTAAGACCTGTTACCATCTTCAACTTTACCACCTAGAATTAGTATCTTTACCCTCTAGATAGGAACCAAGGGTGATGAAAACAACCCCCTTCAGATTATTTCTATTTATGCACAGTTTGTCATGTACCAGTTATATCTAATAAAAAGTACCCTTCACTGTAGGAGAATTTGTATTGAGACCTGTTCATACACCTCGCCATACTAATAGTGACAATAGAATTGATGGATTCCAAATGTCTTCACTTGGAAATCGTCTCCTGGAACTAGAAAACCAGCAACAATTCATGTGTATGAGACAACAAGGACATAGAATGAAACAGTAAGACTACTAAAAGTTTAAAATAATACTTTTAGATCATTCTAATTTTTTTTATCTCTGTACTTAATTCTACAAGTTTGGTTTATTCAGTGTGTCCTATTTATACATTTTTTATAAAACCTGGGTTGTTCATCTTGACACAGAAATACATATTAGAAGTTGGAAAGTTATTGATTTGTATAAATGTTATTTTAAATGTAAAAATCTTACATAAAATGATTAATGAACTCTACAATTTGTGAATATTGAATTTCTTTTACATCTATAAATGTAACCTTTTTTTCAACCTCAAGTGTTAGAGCAAATTCTCCTTTCTCTAAATTGGGTAATATTGAATGGAATATTTTATACACTATTATAGCTAGATTCTAGGTTGGTCTGATCTGCAAAAGCTCTGAAGTCGTAAGTGTAAAATGTTGATGTGATTAACTACATGCAGTACTGTGATTACTGTAATATATATATAATCTAGTTAAAACAATGCTCAAGTAAACTTGTAGTGAGATTTCCAGTAAATAAAATAGGGTTAATATGTTCTTTGTATTATGAAAAACATGTTAGTTCTTAAACTTTCACTGATCATTTTAGGGATAAGTAATTGTTTCAGTACAAATCAGGTGTTGAAGTATGATTACTACCTGAACAACTGTAATTAGGGTTACCACCTGAACAGCTGTAATTAGGGTTACCTGCTGAACAGCTGTAATTAGGGTTACCATCTGAACAGCTGCAACTAGGGTTACCATCTGAACAGCTGCAACTAGGGTTACCTGCTGAACAGCTGCAACTAGGGTTACCTGCTGAACAGCTGCAACTAGGGTTACCTGCTGAACAGCTGCAACTAGGGTTACCTGCTGAACAGCTGTAATTAGGGTTACCACCTGAACAGCTGTAACTAGGGTTACCACCTGAACAGCTGTAATTAGGGTTACCATCTGAACAGCTGTAATTAGGGTTACCATCTGAACAGCTGCAACTAGGGTTACCACCTGAACAGTTGTAATTAGGGTTATCATCTGAACAGCTGTAACTAGGATTACCATCTGAACAGCTGTAATTAGGGTTACCGTCTGAACAGCTGTAACTATGGTTACCACCTGAACAGCTGTAACTATGGTTACCATCTGAACAGCTGTAACTAGGGTTACCACCTGAACAGCTGCAATTAGGGTTACCATCTGAACAGCTGTAACTAGGGTTACCACCTGAACAGTTGTAACTAGGATTACCACCTGAACAACTCTAT